GACATCCTGTGCTGTGACTCAGAGAAGAGATGAAATAAAAGCATAACAAAGGCGCGGAAGCTTTCAAAGCTTTTATTAATTAATTTATTTTCTAAGGTCTCTGGCACTCCTCACCTCTTAAGCTGGTTCATAAGTTACTAGATTCTCTTTTTTTTTGCTGGCATTGTCCTCGCCATGATCACGTGGTCATGGTGACTGATGGTTATAAGAATTGCACTGAAGCCCTATCTCAAGGTTTGTGAAAGGGTGAAACATTCCGTTGAGTGACTCTCTTGAATGGAATTGGTGACAAGGATCTGGAAAGTCAGAGCCCATGATGGCATTACTTATTCCGAATACAGGAGATTGAAACCACACGCTTATTTAACAGCTCGTCCCATGAAAATTCGCAAAATGAATATAAAAATACAGTTCCCATGATTTGCAGGCAATGAGTGAGATACGCATCCCATCCTCAATGACTAAGGTACTTGCCCTCCTCCGTAATCAGCAGACCCGCGATAGCCGCACTGGTAAAAGTAGCCAGGGCGCCAGTGATCATGGCACTAACTGCCACACGGGACACATCGCCCGCACGTTGGGGGGCGAGTTGATTGAGCACACCGATTTGATTACCCAGGGAGCCAATGTTGGCGAAGCCGCAGAGAGCATACGTTACTATGATCCGAGAGCGGACGGAGAGGTCTTGAAACTCGGGCTGGGTTTGAAGGTCGCTATAGGCGACGAATTCGTTCTGACAATGATTGAGTTAGCGTCTCCACCCTATAGAAGGTGAGTGGAAGGTGTGAGGATATAATCTTACCATGACAAGCTTCACACCGATCAGTTTGCCCACTTTGAGCAGATCGCCGTCGCGGGAGACGCCGAGAAGGAAGGCAATGGGATAACAGATGTATCCAAGAATCAGCTGGAGGGTCAAGGGGGGGTCGTTGATGTTGAGGTAACGTCCCCACCAGGTCAACAGGCCGTTGATCAAGGCAACGAAGGCGATGATACAGAGAAGCGTCGCCCCAATCGTACCCGCGATCTTGATGCCGAGCCAGGCACCGTTGGCGAAAGCATGAAGCGCATTTTCAGCCTTGTGTTCCTCGTCCTCGGGCACAACGACACGACCAGCCGTCAGAGTCTCTTCCTCCTCAGGCCAACGCAGCTTGGATGCAGCCAGAGAAGCAGGGATACTCATCACACACGAGGAAACCAGAGCTTGAGGGTTAACGCCCATTCCAATGTAGGCGACCAGTACGGAGCCTGCAATGGTAGCGAAACCGGAGCACATGACCTGGTGGATTTCGGCCACGGTAAGGTGCGCCACGAACGGCTTGATAAGCATGGCCGATTCACCTTGTCCGATGAAGGGGGAGGCAGCAGCCACGACGGCCTCGGCTCCAGAGACCCGCATACTCCAGAAGAAGAAGACAGCGAATTTACCAATAGCCCATTGCAGGACGCCAGAGTAGTACAGGAGCTGCACGAGAGACACGAAGAAGATGATAGCCGGGATGACGGTCACCAAGAACCACGGGTGTTTGCTTGCGAAGCCATCCGTCGTCAAGAAATCAACGCCGTTGTCGGCAAAGCCCAGAAGCTCTCTGGCCAGCGTCGAGACGAAGTTGAAGATGTCGTAACCCGCCTTGGTACGGAGCACAAAGAGAGCAACAATGAATTGCACCAGCATTCCTACAATGACGGTGTGCCAGACGATCTTCTTGCGGTTTCTCGACGAAAGCCACAAGAGGAAGACGAATACGACAAGTCCGAAGAGACTGACGGCTCTGTTGGCTCTGGTGTTATCGGCGGTCTCTTCCGACGCAAATGAGCCGACGAGGATGACCGCAATCGTCAAGAGCGCCGCGCCGGGGATCCTCAGTTTCTCGGGGATCAGGCGAACGAACGGCCGAGCGGTATGGTCCCAGAGCCAATAGGTTGGTCTGGTCACGATGGACACGGGCACGTAGAGGGTAAGAAGCCGCAAGGTAATGCACAGGTACAGCAGGAACGGGATGAGCCAGCCCAAGTCATGTCGATGGAGGATCAGACCAGCAATCCACCATCTAAGAGGGACGACAACGGATGAGTTTCGATTTTGATCAAACAGGACTGCCAGAAGATGCGGTGCAGTCGAAAGGGAAGACAACTCACCCGGTGAACAAAAGCCACACGACAGCGTAGAAGACATGCTTGAAGTATCCGTGGTAGCGGCGATAGAAGGGCCGCGATGGATAGCTTTCACCTGCTTCCTCGAGATCTTTCGAACTCTGGCTATGAGCGTGCTTGTCCTCGACAGTCGGGTCCTGACTCAGGCCTTTGACATCTTTGGCATAGATCACATCATCATCTGGGCCTTTCTCGGCCAGTCCCGAATGGTGGGGATGACCGTGGTGATGCTGATTTGCGGTATCCAGCGCAGGATCTGCATGTCGCATTGTCTCGTGGGGAGATGCCTCGTTCACCTCCATAGCCTTGTCGTCCGCCATTTGTGAACCTGTTCCTATCGCACAATCACTAATTCCAAGAATGCAACAATCTTTCAGGGCGTCGAATACGTCTCCTCCGAAGAAAAAGACGCGAACCTCTGAAAAGGATGGAGTAAGGAGAATTTGGCGGCAACCAAGTCAATTTAACTTCGGATATGGCCGGGGATAGCTGTCGGATAAGATGGAGAGGGAGAGACCAAGTGAGGAGACAAACTCTCTTTTGAAGCCAACAGAAGACGAGCGTTGCGCCTAGATTCCAATTGATCGACTCGGGGTTCTCTCTTATCAGACAAGCTGGTGCGGGGAGATTACACAAGTTGCATATTCCAGCAAAGTGTGAATTTAGCCACCCCAGCAATCCGATTGATTCGTTGGTCCGCCCTGGGGTTGGATATGCCCTTGAGCAAAGATGGAGTGTCCTTAGTGCTCGCCGCCGACAAGGATCATGATAAAACAGGTGAGAAAACTGGAAAGAAATTTTCTCTCGAGTGTTGGTGGCTGGACGGGCTACAGTTGTTCCTCTTCGTGGCCAAGGAACCAAGTATAGCCGTGCATGAGCCCAAGGTTGAGGTCTCTGGTTACTTATCTTTTTGTCCCGATAATAATTTTCACTTTTCAGCAGTGTAGCGAATGAAGACCCAGCGATGCCCTCGACGGTCGATAAGAGTTTCCAGTGTTACAGCACTAAAGCGGACGTGGGCCGAAGTCTGGAGGAAATTCTGCAAGGAGATTGGCGGCTGATCAGCGAGTGTAGCCGTGTCCCGCGCCTTTTTTCTCCGCTCCGTCCTCACGCGGTTCATCGGTCGTGTGCCTCATGCCTTCTGACGGTATTCAGGTACAAGCTCTTGGTTTTCATTTACCGTGCCTTCGGGAGCCTGCCTCGCTGTTGACATTGTTTTCTACGGGCCGATAGACTGCAGAATCTGAGGATACGTTTGATGCGACACTTGCCACACAAGCTGGCAGCATACCTCGTCCTGTCGTCGTGTTAAACTACGGAGGATTGCTTTTGATTGTGGTTGTGGGAAAATAACCGTTTACTGGTGAACTGTGGACATTGACTGGGCCTCAGGGCTAAAGCTTGTGGGGTCTTTCCCGCTAAAAATTCTACCCGCCACCCTCAGACTATCTGCCAATGGTTTCAAGCTAACTAAACTATCAATGGTCTACGGCGGCCTGGGAAACAGCAGGGAACTGAAAAAGAAAAATAGAACAATCCAGGAAAAGCCCCAGTTCATCGAATCATAAGTTTCCATGACTCCTCGATAGGCTCGTTTACTGGGATAGGTATTTTATGCCCGGCACTAACTGGGTCAAATATTGCCGCAGTTACTCTGCAAAGGCTGCTGGTACGATCCTCGGAAGTTCTCATTTCCTTATGATAAGCTCGCCCTTTCTTTGTTATCACCAACTCTGTGAAAAGAGACTGAGCTGAGTGTATCTGAAGCATCCCTGTCAGCCATGAGAGTTTAGGATTGTGCCACCTTGGCACGTGAACACCTGAGATATAAGATCGGAGATCTCCGATGAACAGGGCTTCTCAGGAAGGTTTGAAGCTAAGAACTGATACTTTCCGTAGATGATTGCGCTTGATCCTTCGTGCTCCCTTAATCGAGGAGCAATATGTTGACTTTGTCGTCTTCGAGTCCTCGTGATAAGGGATTCAGATAGCAGTCAAGAAAACCCATGGTTATCAGGTGTTACTACTCCGTATTGTGCTGTCAAAACCCTAAGGATCATGTGACCCATAACGGGTGGTCCCAGGTTTGCCATTATTATTAGCTAAGTTCCAGACCCAGACCCCGGCCGTTGGCGAAGTGGAAATTGGCCTCGGACTGAGCGAGATCACGGGCAAGCTCATTTTGCCGCCCCGGATTCTGTAGGCATTACGTACTTTACCATCTCTGAATCTACCACGTGTTTCTCCAGCTTTCAAGTTACCATGGAGTATTACTATCCAAGGTTTGATTTGAGATTGAATGCTCGGAATTGTTCCCAAAGCTAGCATGGAACTCCGACGGGGAATAGTGCTTAACTGATGGCGTTGCGTCCTTTTAATCCTCGGGACACTCAGGCCGACGTGTTCTACTAAAATAAGTGCTCCGTAGCGAGACAAGGGGACACATTTGAACTCAGCTCTCCTAATGATTGAGAGAACGTTACATTGCATCTCATTGAACATGGATCACGAGGCATAACTATCTATACGAGATTATTAAACAATTGAACCGCTTACGCAGGTCTAAGTTAAGGTTGAGGATCCTCACCAAGAAGCCCAAAACGGTCTCAGCGAGGTCCTTCCATTGGCCGCAATGGCTGGGGAGCCAGGGTGGGGAATGCTATCGATCCCCCGACACTGCCCCTCACAAGCTGCGATCAGCATTGCTAATTTTCAGTTAATCATCATCTCCCTTTACCTTAGTTCTTGTCGAATTTTATCAGCTTAGAATAGTCCTGGATTCTGGTTCATTTCGAGAACCAAAAAACCAAAAAACGAACATTCGCCTTGCGAGTGACCCTCCCAGCATGGGTTCAGATGATCAGGAGTGGGAGCTGGAGGAAGGCATCCCTCAAGTGGAGGAACCCTTTATCCAGCAGTATCTAAAGGGCCGTGATGCACTGGTCCTAGAAGAACAGAAGCAACGACATGGTTAGATTTCCAACTTCTATATGAGCTACAATTCCAAAGAGTTAATATCGCCAGCATAGATGCCAATCTCCGCAAGGCCCTCTCCCCGCTGGCCGCCAAAGCGTGCAAGATCGTGTCCAAGGTCCGTGATCGTGAGCTCAAGACAGTATGGTCCAAGGGCTTGTCCCAGGAGCAAGCCCACGAAGCCGATGAGATTCTCTATCCGGGGGTGATGTTCCATCTCGCAAGGGGTCGCATGGAAAATACCGACTTGTGGAAAATCGTGCAGAAGATGCCCAAAGGGTCCCTCTTACATGCTCACATGGATGCCATGTTTGATATCGATTTTCTGATCGAACAGGCCTTTTCCACCCCAGGAATACACGTGGCTGCTCCAGAGCCGCTCATTACCCCAAAGGAGCTTGAAGAAGCACCATTCTATCTCCAGTTTTCGTCTCGACCATTGGAGGAATCAGAGGACAAGCCTACGATGTGGACGTCTTCCTACGAGTCTTCAGGACTGATATCTCTACAAAAAGCAGCCTCGTCGTTTCCCAAGGGTGGAGAGGCTGGTTTCCGCGAGTGGCTAAAGAGTCGTTGTGTTCTTGGGCCGGAACATTCCTACCTTCACCATCACGGAGTAGACGCCATCTGGGACATCTTCCGACGCACGTTCCGAGTCATCAATTCTATCCTGAACTACGAGCCAATCTTCCGCGCATGCCTGCGCCGCATGTTCGAACAGCTCGCCAGTGACGGAATCAGATACGTGGACTTTCGGATCGCCTTTGTCTTCGAGTACCGACGGGAAGGCTGCGACACGCCCGAGGAAGGCTACTTGGAGTGGTGCCGTGTCTTCAAAGAAGAACTCGAACGCTTCAAGAGCACCGAACAAGGCCGACGATTCTACGGGGCCCGCATCATCTGGACCACACTCCGCATTCTGTCCAACAAAGACATCGCAGCCAGCATGAAGCAATGCATCGAGACAAAACTCGCCTTCCCGGACGTGATCTGCGGGTTCGACGTCGTCGGCCAAGAAGACCTGGGCCGGACGCTGGTCGACCTCGTCCCGGTTCTATTCTGGTTCCGCAAGCGCTGCGTCGAGGAAGGGGTGAATATCCCCTTCTTCTTCCACGCGGGCGAGTGCCTCGGTGACGGCGACGCGACAGACCACAATCTCTTCGATGCAGTCTTACTCGGCACCCGGCGCATCGGGCACGGCTTTTCCCTCTACAAACACCCCCTCCTCATTGACCTCGTCAAGGAAAAGAAGATCCTCATCGAATGCTGCCCAATCTCAAACGAGATCCTCCGCCTCACAAGCTCCATCAAATCGCACCCGCTTCCTGCCCTGCTGGCTCGCGGCGTCTCCGTCTCCCTCTGCAACGACGACCCGGCCATCCTCGGCCAGGGCAAGAACGGTCTAACGCACGACTTCTGGCAGGCTCTGCAGGGTCTCGAAAATATGGGTCTCACGGGCCTCGCCATGATGGTGGAGAACTCCATCCGGTGGAGCTGTTATGAGGATCAATCGAATGCCGAGTGGGCCTCGGATATCGAAGATGGGATTCTAGGCGATGGGCTGAAGGCCGCCCGTCTGCGGGAATGGTATGAAGACTTCCAGGCGTTTTGCGAGTGGATTGTAGCGGAGTTTAAGGATGTAGAGGTCGACGAGTAAGACAAAAGTTTAGGCTTGGTGTTTATATAGGCGCTCTACCCGGGTATCAGGAATATGGTTAAGCTCTCAATACCTTTTTTGGCAAATCCAGCGCGTACGGAAACGAACATTGGATCAGAGTATGAGAAAGCTTGTTATTAGGACGTTCTGCGATCTGTAGTACAGTGTCGTCCTGGATGTAGTATACCTCCAACCAATCACTGTCCGAGCATTGGGTTGATGTTGAAGATCGGGAATTTCAAGCATACGCTTCAGGTATAACGCTCCAATTCGAAAGATAGAAAACCGATCCAAAAGGACACAAAAAGGAATATCAGGGTATGTATTTCCAGAGACACACGTTCCTCTGTACTGTGGAACGGGTGGTCCACATTATCCAGAGAAGAAAAATGAGCAAAGCAACGCGCATGAACTCCAGACCCAATGTACCGATATGCAGTGAACCTGCGCCCGGGGCCGAGAAGGCTTTAGGGACAGATAAGACGCCAAAGAAACAATGCACCGACCCTCCGATCATGCAATGCAGAAACCAAGCCCTGGTATCTCCTGAAAGAGAAAACGCCGTGAACATAGCCTAGTTGTCCGTACGCTTCACTCAAGATCTTCGATATCGCGGTGCCGTGCGAGGACATGGCGCTTGTATTCTTCCTTGTCTGTATCCCAGAGCTCGGCTGCTTGGGCGTTTAGAGGGCTCGCGCTATCTACTAGTTAGCATCAACGCGGTTGTATAGCGAGTTATGAGTGCAAGCTTACTTGTTGGGCTCCCCGAGCAAGCTCTGCAGGCTCAGTAGGACACTCTGCACGTTATATACGGCACTCCACTTGTCTTTGAGGATATCCAAGCAGATCCGGCCGGAGAAGTCGACATTGGGGTGGTAGATGGGCGTTTTGAAGAGAACCGTAGGGGGCGAGTAAGGATAGTTGCTAGGGAAGGCGAAGGAGAGCTTGAAGGTCAGTCCCTCGTATGGTGTCTCGTTGGGTCCGCTGATCGTGGCCGTCCAGTTGAGAAGGTTGCCGTCTGCGTTGGGGAAGGCAGAGATGCCGGGTGAGGGGGACATCATCAGCTGCATCAGCTCTGTTTGGAGGCTATAAGATGTTGAACAGCCGGTTAATACAAGCTACAAAAGCTGAAGTCCACAATGAAAGCGTATTCAGCTCGCAGGATATGGTACCTACCGTTTTGTCACGCTTTGGGTGTCATTTCTTTGGCTGGCAGAGCTCAGCTTGCTTGCCTCGAGAGCTTCAGGCGTGGCGTTCTGAGTATCCTCCATCGCGTAGTCCATCTTGGCCGCTCAGATCACAAAAGTCTACAGACAGTTTCTGAGAGCTCGACTTCTTATTCTTTCCTTTTTTTGATTATAAATTAGAGGTGCGGCTCCCGGTTTAAGGAATGCTAGTAACAGTAGCAAGGTGAGGTTGCTGTCTGGAATGACGACGGATCCGAACACAGCGCAACTGTTGGTTGCAAGAACGATGGGTCGACCCACAACTAGAACCCTCAGATCGAAACCAGCAGAGACAAGTTGAAAAAGGAAAGGTGATATTTCAGATCCCGAAGAGAAGTTTTTTTTTTATGAGAGTATAAAGACGAAAAGTTAGGTAGAGAAGAGAGGAAGATATGACCAGTCTTGATTTTGTGTCGCGAACGGGGCGTTGTTTACTCCACCTCAGAAAGAGCATCAGCTTCCCCCGGCAACGATTGGAACCAGTGTTGAAGGCCCCGCCTGATCCGACTAGACTAAGGCACTGCAAATTTGAAGAGTCGACAAAGGTCAGAGATAAGGCCCAGTGAACAGGAGGAGAACAAGGAAAACAGGAGCAAGCCTGTAGTTGGGTGCGCCTGACTTGTTCACTGGACCATCTGAGTGCCTCGCCTTGGATATTCCAAGTCATTTATCAACTTGATGCGTCCTTGTAGATATAATCTGTTCTGGTATAGACCTTAATAGTAGCCATTGGCTGTCACATCACTTTGACAGGGCATGCAGAGGACACAGGTGAAACAGCGATACGCGAGAGATCTACATTATGATTCAGTGGTCAATGAATTTACAAGAATTCAGTAGATAGATTGCTTCAAGTCATGGCCCTGAATGTTCACATCCTGCAGCCACTTTCGTTCAGAGCCAGTTGTTTTAGATAGAAACAGAGCTTCTTCCGGAAGGGATTGGCTGCTGCCGGTCTACTGTATATCGGACATTAAAAGCAATAGTTTCGGCGCTCCACTGTGTTAATCCAAACCAGTGCATGGAGTTTATTCTTTCCAACCAATATTTCAGCTTCCATTCATGCATATTGTCCTCTAAATTGCGACATCATTTCATTACTACGGTACTATCGAACGTCTTATAGTTGTAATGGAATACAAGGTACCGTCTTCCGCCTGCTCACTTCTGCGCCCGTTGAGTATATCAACACATTACCCAAATAGGATAAAGTGGCTCGCGTTCCCGGCGCACCGCGTATTACTCCCATGGTCTTCGACTCATCGACCCTTGCTTGTCGTGTCCAAGACACCACAAAGAACAATGATATTGCGCTGAATCTCGCGGGAGAAATTATCTTTGACATCCGTGAATCAACAACTTTCATTTTTCATGGTCTTAGCTGCGCTTGTTGTACGTCTTGAACACAATGCACCACTCTCAGCTTGCCCCGCTGCCTAACGATCTGCCCTTTCGGATTGTCTCAAAAACCATCGGTCAGGGTGCCTATGCTTGGTATGCTCCGGTGCTTCTACGTTTAGATTGTTTGGGGTTGTCAATTTCCACTAATGCCTTGCCCAGTATCAAGAAAGCCTGTCCCTCGAACGCCGATAATCCCATCTTTGCCGTAAAGTTCATCCATAAAGATTATGCTGCTCGACATGGCAAGATCAGTCCTCGGCAATTGCAGATGGAAGCGACGGTACATAAACACATCGGCGATCATAACAATATAATTTCGTTCTTTCAGACCGGCGAGGATAACGTGTGGCGATGGATCGCAATGGAACTGGCCGAGGGAGGAGACCTTTTCGACAAGATCGAGGCTGATGAGGGTGTGGGCGAGGATATCGCTCATGTGTATTTCTCGCAGCTTATCAGTGCTGTTGGATACATGCATTCAAAGGGAGTCAGTCACCGGGACATCAAGCCCGAAAACATGCTTTTAACTGCCGACGGAAATCTCAAGATCGCCGATTTTGGTTTAGCGACGTTATTTGAGTACAAAGGGATCACCAAGCTCTCGACAACTTTCTGCGGCAGTCCTCCGTACATTGCCCCAGAGGTCATATCGTGTAGCAACCGTGGTCAGGTCAAGGGAGCGGGTTACCGCCCAGATCTGGTGGATATCTGGTCATGCGGAATTGTACTCTTCGTTTTACTGGCGGGCAACACGCCGTGGGACAGTCCGACAGACAGCAGCTTCGAGTTTCATGAATATGTTGCGACGAACGCACGAACGACTGATGAACTTTGGCAGAAGCTGCCTACAGCAACTCTTTCTTTGCTACGCGGCATGCTGAATGTCGACCCTAGTAACAGATTCTCTCTTGAGGATGTTCGACGGCATCCTTGGTTTACCCGACAGAATCGGTACCTTGCCCTAGATGGCAAGCTCAGAGACCCTATCAATCTAGCGACGACCATGTTCGAATCACTGCACATCGATTTCAGCCAGGATCCGCTTTCTCGACCTCACCGGACCGGCAGCTTCGACCCGGAGCGGATGAGGTCAGACGACGGAGACTTGGATACGGAACCGAGAATCTCCTCCACTCAGCCAGAAATGCCGAGGGGAGATATGTTGGTGGACTGGGATACACCTCACATGGCTGATGTGTTTTCGTTCACTCAACCTACGGGAAGGCCTTCCTCCAGCGACGACATGTTAATGGCGGGCTATCTAGAGGACGAGCCCTCCATGTCACAATTTTCGCCTCATCCTTCTATGCCACTCAGCAGAACGCAAAAAGCTCAGCGCTTCCGTGACATTGTACCTGCTCGCCCTATGACTCGCTTTTTTTCCACGTGGGAACTCAAGATTCTCGTGCCTCTTGTGTGCGAAGCTCTCCACCGCCTGGGGGTCCCTGTTCCCAGTGTGCCCGCGGTTTCTGCAGGAGACACATCTGCAATGATTCGAATCATCACCAGGGATGGCAGAATGTGCACATTGCAGGGGAAAGTAGTCATCGAGTGCGTTTCAGAAGGGCTCTTTGAGATTGAATTTATGAAAGTGAAGGGTGATCCTCTCGAATGGCGACGATTTTTCAAGAAGGTGGCTGTCCTTTGCAAGGATGCCGTCTACATACCCGATAGCTGAGCTGGCTTTGAAGCTACACGGCTTCGGGATTTGCCAAGCGATCCTATATCCTTTTTGATTCTCTCTCTCCCTCTCTCACTTCTTTTGAATCTACTATTTTTCTATTTTTAATGTACGATTGATGCGAGTTACCATGGTTGGGCTTTGGGATATTGGCAGGAACGCAGGCGGTTCTTTGGTATTCAGCAATACTAGACCGATAGAAATCATTTCTCATTCAACCTGGCCCTCGGCTGAACACCTACCCTTCTAGATGAGAGCTTCCGTGATGAAATTTCTCGAAGCTTGGCCTTTAGACCCCGTCAACACGTGACGTCAGTCTAGGCTTGTTGATCGCGGGGAAATTAACGGATCTGGAACCCGATTAGGAGGGACAACAGTTTGGGCTGTCTTACATCGTGCCGTGAGCGGGTTTGGTCTTTTATCTGCCCTCCATGCTGTGCCTTTCCAGATCCTACCCATGGAAAACCTCCCCGTAGAGATTCTTTCCAAGATTATCGATTGTAAGTACTCCGTAGTCGAGGTCTACGCCTTGGCTGCGAAGATCTTACCCCGCATGACCTGTGACAATCTATAACTAACCCGTTCCGCCTATTATGGACTAGATCTCACACCGGTCGAGCAGGTCCAGCTTCAAGCTGTCTCGAAGCGGTTCTTTGCTCTAGCGCGTGATAACACACGATGGAGACTTCACTGTTACGAGGAATCATGGGCTGCGTCAGAAGCTGCCCGCCAGAGCCGGAGTACTTCAGAAAGCTTGCATGCGAGGTCCACAGCGCCCCTGGGCTCATTAGGGCAGACGTCGCTCCTCTCCTTGATTCAACCACAGCATAGCCTTTTGAATGGGGGTTCATCGAATCAGACTGGCCAGAACGAAGCACAGAATCCGTCATTTGCTGAGCGAGCGAGAGCGGCGGCAGCGTGGGACCCCTCGTATGAGGGAGAGGATGTCGACTGGTACTCTGAATATATCGCACGACATGGACCCATGTCGTTCAGTTGGTTGCAGCAACCATTCACGAAGAAAAGTCAGGGGGTGAGGAAGATTTACCGTGAGGTTAAGGGCATGGGGCTGCTTCGGGATTGGAGCTCGGCGAGACAGAACAAGGTGGTAGCTCCGCTTGACGATGGGAGTGTCTGCATCTGGGACCTGAATCATTCCCATTCCATCGATTCACAAGCGACAAAAGGCAGAGTCCTTGGAGTCAGTGACCCGGGGATCTTGATGGCAGATCTGTCTAAAAGACGGGATCCTGCCTCGCGGTCAGCATTAGAGTTTATCAACCTGGGCCAGAGTGTCAGCGTTGACTCTATACGTCGGAGGGCTTACATGGCCGTCGGAAATGCGTTGAATGAAGTCGACCTTGAAACGCTTCAGGTGATTTCGCAGCAGCGTTATCCTTGGTCCATCTTCGCCTTGTCTCAGGAAACAGACTACTCCGTTCCGCTCACGGTGGCCACCACCCTGAGTATTCACATACACGATTCTCGATTATCAGCCTCCGAGGAAGAGGCGGCCATCAATCTACGCTGTGAAGAGCCAGTCACTGCGTTAGTGCCGGATTCCCAAGTCTATGCACGTCCGGATTCCCCGCTTCTACAACTCCAGCCTGATGGTCGGCCTCCCTACCGTATACGTAGCCCTGATCCCTCGCAAAAGGGGGCGGACTATGCACCTCTCTTCCAGCCTGGCCCTTTATCGCTCTTACACCCTCCCGCACCGCATGTGAATACGATTCTTCTTGCAGGCCGCTTCCCGAGCATACTGCAATATGACAGGCGGTTCTTCCCTCGGCTACAGAACACGGTACATTCAGGTGGCCGTCTCTGCGGCCTTACTTCTATGCCTGCTCCCCATTTTCCTGTATCATCAGGCTCGACGTATCCACAGTCACATAAAGTGGTAGCCTGTGGTGAATACAAGGGAAGAGGGTCACTCGAGCTTTATGATCTAACACCCTCATCTCTCAGCAGCGGAGACAGTCCGTCGGAAATGTCTTCGAGTATGAATTCTGTATATCAAAACCGTCAAAGTGCCGCGAGATCGAAGGTCCTCTCTGTTGAGTCGCACGGGACTCGCGTCGTCTACTCGGACGCTGAGGGTAATATCAAGTGGGTCGAACGCGACGGTCGTGTCGACGTTCGCCGCTTCAATCTCAACTCCTATCTACAGCAGGCCGCAGGCCAGAAAAACCGACAATCACGCTTCGGAGCTTCAGACGCAGTCGCCCTGGACGAGGAAGAAGAAGAGGAAGACGGCGCCTCCGGGCTCTGGCGAAGCGTTTTCCGATCTCAGACTGACGGTGAAGTTGCTCGCAAGATCTTGCCTACCGGTGGAAACTTGACAGGGGATGAGCTCCTCGTCTGGACAGGAGAGCGAATTGGCCGTGTTATGCTCTCCACCTCTTCCGCTGACAATCAGGGTGAAGAAGACGGCGATGACGAGATGTCTATTGATGGGGACCTGGACGACTCTGCTCGCGAAGAACTGCGAAGTAGAAGACGAGAGCATCTGCGACAGGAACGGGAGTACGCTCGAAGGATGCGCAGAGCGCTGGAAAGGCAGGCGGACGAAGTCCGGCGAATGGGGGGATTCGGACTGTGATCGGAAATAGTTGCAACGATAATTTGCTTTCTTTAGCATCTAGATAGCGCTCTCTTTCATAGACCAGGACAAGATGTTTGTCGCTCAGATCAGAGTTTTGGATCGGAGTTTTACGTTCGTATCAAGATCATGAGTGACCAGGAAGAATTACTATCCCCAATGAAGCGGAGCCGTTAATAGCAGTCTGTCAGATCTTCCGAGATGTTGTCCAAGAAATGACGAAGGCACATCATCATGCTACCTATAGACCCCCTCGGCTTTAGCAGCGGAGCGCAAGCCTGGCCTACCCATATCATGTCTCTTAGATCACTGCACGAGTTCATGGACGCTAACAAACCATTCATTCTGGCCGTCTTCATGTGTGCCGGCAGCCTCGGTTGGTGAATTTGTCTGCCGCTGGTGGCCGGTGGGCCTGGGAAGAGGTGGAGGATGAGTCTGGATTAGACTTTCTGACAAAACATTAGTGATCGCTGATGATTGACGGGGAGACCTACTACGCTTCTATCATGTGCCATTACGTTGACTTGCTCGTATAATCTCCTCTTGCAATTTCATTCTTGACCTCCATTCGTTGTCATCCCGGAATCAATTGACGATATCCTTGAGGTTTTGATAGTTTACACTGTTCACCTGCATGCATCATTATTGAGTCGTCCTCGCCCTCCGAAACCCCGCGTGCCGATATTTGAGTCATAGACACGGCCACCCTGATTTCAACTGCCGGTCAATTGAGCACGAGCTAGTCTGATATAGATCACCGGAGAGACACGATACTTGAAGAATCACCTCGCACTTCCCAGACGGTCGTTTTCTGAGCCTGAGCCCTTCTACGGCCGAGTCGGAGATTCAATCTCATCAAAGTTGCCCCGCGTGAACTTGCCGAGAAGCAACAATTATTCACGCCTCTTTTTCCTATCACCGCCTCGATTTCGAATTGCATAGCTCCAAATGCCTTCGCCTTCAGATCCCAGTCTGCAGTTCGATTCTATCGAAGACTCAATCAAGGCTTTTAGTGAGTTAGCCTCTCGGGTTGTTGCGCCACCTGCGCGAGGTCCCCGAGCATTGGGAAACGGAGATGCTAATGGTACATGCTCAACACAGAAAACGGAGAATTCATAATCGTCCTTGATTCGCAAGATCGTGAGAATGAAGGTGACCTTATCGTTGCCGCGGAGTCGATCACAGATGCGCAGATGGCGTTTCTAGTCCGCTTTACGAGGTTGGTACACCCTCGCCTGCACTCAAACCCGCACGGCTCAGAGCGCGTCTTGAATACTAGCTAACGCCTTCTCTTTCTCGAACTACAGTGGTCTGATTTGCGCACCTATTACCCCTGAGATCGCCCGCCGCCTCTCCCTGCCCCAGATGGTCGTCGAGAACGCAGACCCCAAGGGAACCGCATACACCATTTCCATCGACTCCAACGACCCCTCCGTCACGACCGGAATCTCCGCACAAGACCGCGCCCTGACATGCCGCACGCTAGCCTCTCCAACTGCCAAATTCGAGGACTTGCGGCGGCCCGGCCACATTATCCCGCTCGAGGCGAAGAGCGGCGGCGTGCGCGAGAGAAAGGGACACACGGAGGCGACGGTTGAGTTTTGCCGTCTGGCGGGTAAGACGCCTGTTGGTGTGATTGCGGAGTTGGTGGAGGATGGCGAGCTCGTTGAGGGAATCCCCGAGATTCGTGGTAATAACGGTATGATGAGGCGTGATGGGTGCTTGAAGTTCGGCAAGAAATGGGGGATCAAGGTGTGCACGATTGAGGATTTGGTGGAGTACCTTGAGAGGACGGAGGGGCCTGTTCGGAATGGGAAGCATTGATCGCTTGATCGAATTGCGTTTTAGTATCTGATTACACCTTTTTTCTCTTTTGAATTCTCTCCCCTCTCATGTACATGTGAACGGCTCGGCTCTTGTCTCGCGCACTGTTTAGCCAGGAAACAAAAGTGTACCAGTAAATACTAGATCACTTGGATACAACTTTGCTCACGAAGCCTATGTATAATAAGGCAAACCATTATGAACCTGCTCTGTATATTTCATGAAAACAGATCGGTGTTAAGTATAGTTGGCAACTACTCGTGTGAGGTTTCCATAGGAGCAAACAAAAATCTGTTGAAAGGTGGAATATGACCAGAAGCAAACTTGATTGAAATGGGTATCTATCTTGATATCTTTTACTATTAAAACGCCAGTTGAAAGCATAACACAACTGAGATTGCCCACAATGTATAGCATGAAATGGTATGCCAGACTCGAGGAAGGCACCGCCCAACGCCGATGAATGCAGGTGCAGTGTCATTTGTGACACATGATCAGAAATAGAGAGCGAAAAAAAAGATTGTCAAGAATGGTGGGCTCAACAATGAAGACAAGAGACAAGATACTCCAGTCTTTAGTCAGGTGGGAAGTCATTGTTTACCGCTTAAGGTGAGAATAATCTCTCAGAACGCCCATCATGTGGGTGTTGGTCGTCTTGCCACTGCGACGAGGTTTCTTGACCTTTTTCTGCTCGACCTTTGGGCGTACCTTGACGACCTTGTTCTTGTTTGTCGGGGTGATGCCAGCTTTCTCCAGCTCTTCCTTGACGGCCTGCTGATCAGGAACTTTGATCTTCGCCCAAATCTGGCGGAACTCATCATCAAAGTGCTGCACCAGCGAGGGATCGTTGGCCCAGACCATCTTCGCATGATCATCCTTCTTGTTTCTGGTGACCAACAATTTTCCTTCTTTCTCCAGCTTGTTGATTGTTTCCTCAACGTTGGGCCAGCCCTCCCGGAGCTCACGGACGCTCATGCCAGCAGCAGTTGACTGAGACTGTAGCTTCTGCAGGAGTTGCTCCGCGGTTCGGATGTTGTGAGGAGGCCGAAAGGCGAATGTACCCTCCCCATTCGCGCCACTAGGATCATACAAAACTTTTTCGTGCTGCGTGAGAATTCTCCGTAGTGCCTGAAGATAGCCTTCGTCGCTTGAGCGGTGCTGGAGAGAGAGGTACGAGACTATATCGGAATACCTGAGCGGGACGCCCTTCGATTTCAAGTGCTCAACTGCAAAGAGCACCTGTGTCATAATGTCCTTGCCCGTGCCGGTATTGGCAGGCTGCGAGTACACGATGTCTGCATTCTGCCTCTTCCGCTGTGCGTCGCTACCTGGTGTTGGTGTTGAGGTGGAGGATGGTACCTGAGAAGTGCTTGTCGAGCCGTTGTGGACAAATCGTCTCTGCTGGGGCATTCGATTCGCATAGTCGGCAACGCTGGCGTTGAAGCTCTTGAGCTGTTGCTGAAGCGACATGGTTGCGATGGCTGGTAATGACGTGCGAGATGCTCGAATTTGATACAATGAGGCGACGTCCGGCTCCAACCGCCAGAGAGAGCTTATATTAAGCTACTCTTGAGCATATAACTAGATAACAACTTCTCTATTTGAACTCAAAGTTATCACCTGGCGAAGACGCAGAGGGCAGGTGCAGCGTGTTGGGGAAGGGGAAGAAGTGATTGCGACTGCTATTCTTCGAAAGCCATAATTGGTATCTTGAAGCCGCAGGCAAGATAGTATCACGTGATTTGAGAGGCGCGCTAACCGCGTTGGGAGCAGCAATGCAACACAAACGCATCTCATTTATCCTTCAAGACCGACATTCATCACTTGACAGAGGACTCACCTTCACTTTTCCTCTGTCGGTCTTTTCCCACATCTTTGATTTGCACCGTCATGTTATAATCGACCTATTTTAGCGTTGTGTGCACTTATCTTGGAGTAGTGCATGTTACGCGCGCAACGACATCATCGGTTGAGCTAGCGACGTCTGCGCATCTTCCCGACTGACCGATTGCTGCGCAGATTTCATAGTTGTCAGCTTTGGAAGAGAAGCGGCCCGGTACAACAGCCGCTCTTTAGCCACTATGGCTACGGCTACCGTCGAATTGCCTTACCTCGCGAGCCATTACGCTATCGCGGAGTCAACACTTACCACCCTTACCCAAGCTCCTACGGTCGAACTAGTCAACCAGCTGCTGGAGGCAATTACCAAGAAAGCTCATGAATATGACGAGCTCAAATCCGACAAGCTTCGTTTGGAAGTGGAGCTTGAAAACGCGGTTCGCAGTAGCGACTCAAAGATCAAGGTGCTGAAAAGCTCCGTGGAAAAAGGCCATGCGGAAGTTGAGGAGGCAAGAAAGAAACTTCACGAATCAGGTTGGCTGTGACGCGTCCTTTTTTGACCTGCACCTACTGACACGTATCTAGAAAATGCTCGTTCAGCCCTGGAATCCGAAATCGCGACGCTGAAATCCTCGACTACCTCCAATGAGTCTGAAGTGAACACTCTGAAATCCCGTATTTCCTCACTCGAAGCATCGAACCGGGATACCCTAGGGCTCCTTGAGTCAAAGAGTGCTGCTTACGACAAGCTTGCGGAAGAACTTTCCACCCAACACAAGAAGACAATTGAATTGAGACGCGAGCTGGCTACTGCTGAACAAAATCTTCAGGCCGCGAACTCGGCATCCGCCAGCGCTCGCTTCCGTGAACAGGGCTTGCAGCAGGAGCTGGACTTGACGAAGAAGAACAACGAATGGTTCGAGACGGAGCTGAAGACGAAGTCTGCAGAGTACCTCAAATTCCGCAAGGAAAAGACCGCCCGAATTGCCGAGCTTCAACGTGAAAACGAGGAAGCCAACTCAACCATCGACTCACTAAGGCGTAGCGAAAATGCCCTCAAGAGCCGTTTGGATGAGGTCGAGCAACGATACGAGGAGTCCCTTTCGAGCATCCAACAGCTCAAGGAGGAGGCTATCCAAGCGGCTGAGTCGTTCAGAATCGAGCTGGACAGTGCTAATCGTCTGGCTGAACTGCAAGGCAATGCCGCGCAGACTGCCAAGCAGCGTGTGCAGGAGTGTCAGCTCGCGCTAGAAAAAGCGAGAGACGATGCGGCCGAAGAGATCTCTCGACTTCGCGTTGAGATCGAAACAGAGCACACTGACAAGGAAGCTGCCGAACGCCGCGTTGCTGAACTTGAGTTGACTGTTACTCAATTGCAATCGGATGGCGCCACTGCCAGAAGATCCATGAGCCCGGCTCGTGGCTTGAATGGTACAGGACCCAGCACCCCTGTCCGTCCTGGTACTCCCAGTGGCGCATTCTCTCCCAGGACCTCGCGCTCCAAAGGAGGACTTACTCTCACTCAAATGTATACCGAGTATGATAAGATGCGAACGATGCTTGCCGCAGAACAAAAGACCAGCCAGGAACTCAAAGCGACCCTGGATGAGATGGTTCAGGAGCTCGAAGCCAGCAAACCGGAAATTGACGAATTGCGGGCCGATCACGCGCGACTTGAAAATGCCGTTGTCGAAATGTCTAATATCCTCGAGACAGCAGGAAAGGAAAGAGATGATGCAACCAAAGAGGCACGGAAGTGGCAGGGCCAGGTGGAGGGGTTGGCTCGCGAGGGGGATATTTTACGTCAACAACTTCGGGACTTGAGCGCTCAGATTAAGGTTCTGGTTATGGAAGTTGCTGTCTTGAAGGAAGGCGAAACCACATACGACAGGGATGAACTCGAGAAGATCGCTCGTAAGGAGATCGACGACTCGTCGGCGGAACTCAACCCAACCGGCCGATTTATCAGCCGTCATCTGACGACGTTTAAGGATCTGCATGAGCTTCAAGAGCAGAACGTCACACTTCGGCGAATGCTGAGGGAACTCGGCGATAAGATGGAGGGAGCAGAAGCTCGTGAGAAGGATGCAGTTCGCCAACAAGAGCAGGAGGAGCTGAAGGAGCTTAGAATTCGTGTGCAAACGTACCGTGATGAAATCGCAAACCTCGTTGCTCAGACAAAGAGCTACGTGAAGGAGCGGGATACCTTCCGCAGCATGTTGACAAGACGTCGTCAAACGGTTGGAGATGCTTCTGCATTCTCACAGTCGCTTCCTCTGGGTGCGGTACCACCCAACGTTGACGACCAAGGGAGGGATGTACCCGACTATGCGGAGTTACTGCGCAAGGTGCAAGCCCACTTTGACAGCTTCCGGGAGGAGTCCGCCACCGACCATGCCGCTTTGAAACAGCAAGTCAATGAATTATCACGGAAAAATAGTGAATTGCTGAGCGAGATCAGTCGTTCAAGCAGCCAGCTTGGCGCTGCCACTCAGCGAGCTGAGCTTTTGCAAAGCAACTTCAACATGTTGAAGAATGAGAATGCAGAGCTGCAGAAACGCTATGCTGCTCTCCTTGAGAACGCCAACCGACAGGATCTGAGAACCCAACAGGCTGCCGAAGACTTGGTTGAGACGAAGGGTCTCGTCGAAAGCCTTCAACGTGAGAACGCAAACCTGAAGGCCGAGAAAGACCTTTGGAAAAATATCGAGAAGAGGTTGATCGAGGACAATGAGGTTTTACGGAATGAACGCGGCAGGCTCGATTCTCTCAATGCGAATCTGCAGACCATCCTCAACGAGCGTGAACACGCTGATGCTGAGAGTCGCCGTCGTTTACAACTCAGCGTCGAATCCTTGGAGTCCGAATTGCAGTCTACGAAACGTAAGCTTAATGCCGAGGTTGAAGAATCAAAGAAAGCTGCTCTCCGCAGGGAATATGAGCATGAGCAGAGCCAGAAGCGGATAGACGACCTTGTGACAAGTCTAAGCTCGGTTCGGGAGGAATTGGTTGCCACCAAGACCACTCGGGATCATTTGCAGACCAGGGTGGATGAGTTGACGGTTGAGCTGCGGAGTGCTGAAGAACGTCTACAAGTCGTACAATCCAAGCCAAGCCTCTCAACTGCCCCGGCCGAGGCAGCTGCGACGGCAGAAGAAGGC